CCCAGGGCACTAGGATTAAGGCTGTGAGTGCTGCCCGCCCTATCAGTCTGAATGAGATAAAAGGGGCAGAGTGATGCTGTTCAGGTCTCTTGTTGCTTTTGCTGTCTTCCACCACTGTGAACTGTGGCCCCTCTGTCACCCTGCCTTGGAATCAGCCGATTATGGACTGAAACCCCTGCGAATCGTGAGCCAAATAAACCTTTCCTGGGCCGGGGACTTAGCTCAGTGGTTTGGCCACCTGCCTTGAAAGCGCAAGGTCCCAAGTTCGATCCCTGGTACCAAAAAAAGAAAAAGAAAAAAACATAAACCTTTCTCCTTTAACTTTGGGTGTTGGGTATTTTGTCTCAGCAATGAGAGAAAAGTAACTAACACAAATTTTAAGTATATATTTAACAAAGTTAATCAATATGTCTACTCTCTTCCCAAACAACCATTTCACCTTACATGTTGTCCAGTATTGTAGTTCAGACTACTGTACCTTTTTTGCCCCATATATTAACATAACCGTCATTGTTTAGCAGTCTGTGTTTGTTTAGATTTACTCACATATTTTGTGATTTCTTTGCTCAGCACTTTCCCTTGTATTTCAAACCTTCCTAGGAAACTTTTACTTGAGATACATCAAGTTAGAATTTCCTTAATTAAGGAGTGTTAGCTGGGCATGGTGGTGCACACCTGTAATCTCGGACTCAGGAGCCTGCCTGAGGCAGGAGGATCACTGCAAGTTCAAGGCCAGCCTGCGCTACATAGTGAGTTTAAGCCCAGTCCAAACTATATAGTGAGGCCTTGTCTCAAAGAACAAACAAACAAAAACCAGGAATTTTGGTGGTAAATACTTGAAATTGTTCTTCTAAAATTATTTTTATTTCACCTCGAGGATTATGTTTTGCTCTGTTTGGCGTTGGGGATGGAACCCAGGGCCTCAGGTGAGCCACGCACCCTCTGCCACTCAGCCTTGGAAGAGCGTTTTGCTGAGAGCAGCTGTGGCACAGCAGCTTCCACACCTCTGCACACACTCAGGTCCCGTGTCCCGTGTCCCTGCCCTGGGTGACCAAGTGCGGCGGAGAAAGCAGCTGTCATTCTAATTCCCTTTCCTCTGAGGTGATTTTTCTTTCCTGTTGCTTTTACAGTGTTCTTCTCTGTGATGCTCTGTAATTCAGAACAGAAGGACCAGTGTGTCTTTCTGTTTGTTTAATCTGTGTGGGATTATTGGACTCCCTGATTGACATAGTCATGATTTTCAGCCTACTGGAAAAAACGCAGCTATTTTTTGGGGGGCGGGGAGGACCAGGGATCAAACTTGGGTCCTTGCACTTGTGAGACAGGCAGCATAACCCCTGAGCTAAATCCCTGGCCCAAAACTCAGCTATTATTTCTTAAATATTGCTCCTGTCCAATTGTATCTGTTATCTCCTCCATGCCACTTAACCTTTATTTATGTTTATCTTTATCTCAATGAACTACATTCTGGATAATTTATTTGGATCTATATTCCAGCTCATTCATTCTCATATCAGCTGTGTTCAATCAGTTTCATTCACCTGTTGCATTTTTTTTAGATAAATTTTGATTTTAAAGATTCTATTTTATTCGTTATTTGGTCACTTGTATGCTCTCATTTCTTTCTCATGGTTTCAAGCATCTCTTTAATTCCTTACAGCATGAAACATACTTTATATTCTGTGCATGGTAATTCCAATATTACACTTATTCTGTGCAGGCCTAGTTTTTTTTTTTCTTTTTTTGGTACCAGGGATCGAACTCGGGTCCTTGTGCTTTCACAGCAGGCGGCGAAACCACTGAGCTAAATCCCCAGCCCTGTGCAGGCCTAGTTTTGCCAACTGTTGTTTTGTTGGCTCTTAGTCAGTGTCTCATTTCCTTGTACATTTATGACTTTTTGGCTTCGAATTCATGTTTCTTGAACCTTTACCCACGGAAATTCTTTGAGGTCTCAATTGGAATTGTGTTCCTCCAGAGAAAATATATGCTTTCTTCTGTGGCCACTTGCAACTGGTTCCACTTCAAAATAAATTATCTGCCTTAGGTTTTCTGGGCCCCATGTAGCCTTCTTCCAGGTGTTGTACCACATTAGAGTAGGCCTATTACGCATTCTCAGGGAAGATTTGGTTTTCTCCCTTTTACTTAGCACCAAAGGCAAGAGAGACAAGATTCTCTGCTGCCCTCCTCCCTGGCTATCTTTTGCTCCCCCTTGTAGTAAGCGTGCAGCTACATGGTCAGTACAGTTTTGTTTTGTTTTGTTTTTGGTACTGGGGATCGAACTTGGGACCTTGCACTTTCAAGGCAGGCAGTGGAACCACTGAGCTAAATCCCTGGCTGTGCAGCTACACGAAATCCTCTCTTTCTACGGGAATCTCTTGACTCTTCACCTATTGGGTGGGCCCAGGTTTATCTCCGGTCTCAGCTGCACTCCGAGCTCACACAGGCAACTAAAGCTCACCCGACTGGATTTGGCAGAGACACGAGGCTGATGCCAAGCTCACCTTTCCCCTGGTTACCACTTTCACTGTGCTTTTGTACACTGAGTATTTCTTGCCAACTCAATGCTTTCAAAAGGTACTTTCTATTTGCATCCAGCTTCATAGTTATTTTCTTGGGACATTTATGATTATGCTCTGAGACATGGATGTCTGGATGTTTTGCTTGCCCATCCGGTCACTGGTCACGTTCCGTGGAGGGTTCCATGTTGGTGTGGAGAGCTCACTGCCTGCTGCCCACCTTGAATGAGCCCAAGACTTGGTCTTCCTTTGTGGGCACGGTAACTCAACCCAAGGACCTACTCTGCCAGCTGATGCTGGTGGCCACACTTAGGGCACCCAAGGTTTAATATCCTTTCAGCCACTGGGGCTTATGGACACCAACAAAGTATGTGTGCTTACTAGAGCTCTTGGGGCCAATCATATGCAGGGAGAAGGAAGACAGGTTCTATGGTCTCACCTTGCTGTTTTGCTGTGTCTTGCTCAAGGCAGCTCAAGGTGGCAAAAGTTTTGTTTCTCTCTCCAGATCTAGATGTTTACCTGTACCAACCCTCATCTCTTAGGAGATTGATATCCACCTGGGCAGTGGTTCTGGACCTCTTGGGTTATGGAATTCTTTTTTTTTTTTTTTTTCCAGTATCAGGGATCGAACTCAGAATCTTGTGCTTGTGAGGCAGGCACGGTGCCACTGAGCTAAATCCCCAGCCCATGGGTTATGAAATTCTTAGAGGACCTGCTGAAAGCTATGAACCTTCCTCTAATAAAATCCATTCCAGACAGCATATAGAGCATGATGTCAGAGAGCTCCTTATCTTCTCCTTAGACCATGGAACATGTAGTGATTTTGTTCCCAGAGATAGGCTTGGGGTCTCAGGCCTCATCTTTGGAAAGCTTCTGCTCCCTTGAAGACTCATTATAGGTCCATATACCTGGGACCCATCAGAAAGCTTTGTGCTCTGTGTTTTCAGTTGATCCATTTTATATTGGACTTTATATAATCAATTGTTTTTGCCCATGGTCCTGCATAATGCAGATCTAAGGGGAAGTTCCTGTTTGGTTTTTGTTTGTTTTCGGTACTGGGGATCAAACTTGGGTCCTTGTGCTTTCGAAGCAGGCACCAGAACCACTGAGCTAAATCCCTGGCCTAGGAAGTTCCTATTTTTTACTTTATGTTGATATGTTGAGCTGGGTTTTTTTTGGGGGGTGGGGTGGGGATACCAGGGATTGAACTCAGGACCTTATGCTGGTGAGGCAGGCGCGGTGCCACTGAGCTAAATCCCCGGCCCTTTGAGCTGTTTTCTTAATGGCACTAAGTAAACAGCAACTCCCAGAGCCACTGGAGGTTTGATTTTGATTTGCTGTTTTCAGTCTGTACCTGAGTATGGACTTTTCAAGGAGTCTGAGCCTCTTTGGCTGTGTTCTCCCATGGGTTTTTAGTAAGTACAAGCTAACAATCTGTCACCCTTTTTGTTTAAATTTTGGTCTTTTTGTGATTCTCTGTATTACTTAGCTGGCCTTGTTCCCTAGGTTTGCTGAGCGTTTTTCTGTCTGTGAAGTGAGTGGCTTGAAGTAGAGCAGGATACTTACATTGCACTTCTCAGCATCCCAGGGGCTGCCAGGGACAAGAGGCATGGGCTGTGAGGAGGGGCCCCTGCCCCAGCACTGCTTCCACCAGGGCAGCTCAGCTTTTACACACTAAATACTGGAGCCACAGTGGGATTTATTTTGAGCAAAATTCCTGTCTTAGCTACTTTTTCCTTGCTTGGATGAAACACCTAGCAACCACAAGTTAAAGGGCACCAGGTATGGTGGCACACTCCTGTAATCCTAGCACTCAGGAGGCTGAGGCAGGAGGACTGCTGTGAGTTCGAGGCTGGGCTACATAGTGAGTCCAAGGCCAGCCTGGACTACATAGCAAGACCCTATCTCAAAAACAAAAACAAAAAAGTTAAAGGAAGAAAAGTTTATTTCAGATCACAGTGTGTAGAGGTTTCAGTCCATAGCCAGCTGGCTCCAAGGCAGGGTGACATAGCAGAGGGGCCTGGCAGAGGAGAAGCAGCCCATGGCAGGGCAGGCAGAAAGCAGCAAGCAGCACCAGCAGCAGCCTGCCTTCCATTTTACCCTTTATATCTCATCCAGGCTAAAAGCCTATTGGTTGGTGCCACCCACACCCAGGGTGGGGCTTCCCATTTTCCACACTCAGAACTATGTTAAACCAAGTTAGTTATTACACATCCTTAATCCATACACACCCTAGATCCAGCCACCCCCAAAGAGCCCTGCCAATGAGCACATGAGGCTTTGGGGGGCATCTAGACACAACCCGTAACAGTTCCATAGAAGATCCCTGATTTCTATGCAGAGTCCTCCAGCAGAGGTCCTGCCCTCTGGGCTGCAGGTAAAGGCAGGGACAGAAGACATTTATTTCTGACCCTTCTGACCCCGATGCTATGGCAGACACCCTTCCCGCGACCTAATTCTGCTCCTCACTCCTATCCTGGGCAGGATGTCACCTTGGATGTTGAGAGTGTTAATGCTGCCGCTGCTGCTGCCCACCCTGGGTCAGGCTGCTCCCAAGGATGGGGCCGCAAGGTAAGGGGATCAGGAGGACAGGACCGTGGGCTGGGGCAGGGTGACTCTGGAGAACCAAGGGTGTGGTAAACCCGTGGGGCCCAGCAGACTGGGGTGACCCCTGTGTGTCCCCACCCCCGCCTCCTGCTTTGTGCCTGTCAGAATATTACAAGTACTTGCTTGCTGAGCCCCTTCCAAAACAGAGCTCAGCTCCAGCATGGTGCGAAGCCCTAGGAAGTCGAGAGGCCAGGGAAGGGGCTTTGGTCCTGTAATCAAGTCCTAGTAGTGGGAATGAAGGTCATCGCTACACCATTTCTATTTTATTAGAATTGCTCTCTTGTTTATTTGTGCTATGAGGAGGATATGCCGGACAGGAGAGGAGACAGAGGCGGGAAGACCTGCCAGGCCCGGCAGCAGTGCCCAAAGTGGCTGCAGCAGCCCCGGGCTGATGTGTAGCCCCATCCAGAACTAGAAGCGCATTTTCAGCTTGAGAGACTGGTCGAGAGATCCCGAGAAGACAGAAACCCCAAAACTGATACGTGTGCCCTCTGCTCGAAAAAGTCATTTATGTCATGGGGCGAGCTGGGTCATGAACCTGGCAGCGTCCGGGCTCCAGCAGAGCCCCGCCCCTTGGCCTTCAGCTGTCACGATCCACACTGTCCTGTGTCACTGGGCTTCTTCCTGGGCCTCCGGCTTGTGTGAAGGAGGTGTGGCTTCATTTGGCCTCAACTTCCCCGGATATTTCCTTTGGGCCTCACTTAAAGTTTAAATAAGGCAGTTTCAAAAAGAGTCTGAGGAAGTAAGAAGGTCAGAAGGGCCTCTTCCTCCCTCGATTTTTGGGAATTTGAGGGAGCACCTCCTTTGGGCCTGGGCAGAGAGCTGTGCCGGAGGCCGGGGTGGGAAGCTGCGAGGCTGGGCCCTCAGGCAGGCTCTCTGCAAGGCTGCTCCTTTCCTCCCTCCTCCAGGCAGGACCTTGAAGTGCAGCCCCAGCCCCTGCCTAACCCCTTCCACCCAGGGCCAGAGCAGCTCCGGTGAGTGGCCAAGCTGGGCGGGGCCTTCGGGGTGTAAGCCAGGCCTGGGGCCTCAGACTGGCCTCTCCCAGGCTGATTTCCCCGTTCTCCCACAGAGTGCTGCAGAACCACCTAAAGGGACTAGAGCAGGTGGAAGAGGACCTGGAGCACATGAACCGGGAACAGGGTGAGGGGCTGGCTGCTTGTCCAGGGCCCAGGACACTCGGGGCAGCCAGAGCCGGGCCTGAGAGCTGGCTGCCCCACTGACTCCTGCCTTCTCTACTGCTCTTGAGGCCCCTGCTAAGCCAGCTTCTCTCCCTAGTTCTCCTCTACCTCTTTGCTCTCCACGACTATGACCAAAGCGGACAGCTGGATGGGCTGGAGCTGCTGTCCATGCTGACAGCGGCGCTGGCCCCCGGAGCTGCCAACTTTCCTGCCAACCCGGTAAGCTCTGCGGGAGACTGCAGGGGACCCCAGCTGCCTGGCCTTTGGTCTGCTCCTCATGACTCTGGGTGGATCTCCTGGCAAAGGGGGCTCAGAGCCTGCGTGACGGGGGAGGGGCATTGAGTAGGGGTGCTCCCGAGAGCATCTCTGGTCACTGGGGACCCCACGGTGACTCCACGCTTCCACAGGTGATCCTGGTTGTGGACAAGGTGCTCGAGACACAGGACCTGGATGGGGACGGGCTCCTCTCCCCTGCAGAGCTCGTCAGCGTCCCAGAAGAGGCCCCCAGGGACACAGAGCCCAGAGAGTCCCTGGCTGCAGCCCCGCAGGAGACACAGACCATTGGGGGGCAGCCCCTGTTAGCAAAGAACTCATTGAGACAAGAAACTCAGGGGGATATGGGACCCAGAGAGGAGGCTGGGAGCCAGGAAGAGTTCAGGAGGGAGTCCCCGGAGCCTGTTCAGGAGGCTGGGTATCACGCAGGGGCTGAAGGAGACACCCCAGGTCCCGAAGAGGGGGATAGGAGACAGGTAGAGAATGAAGGAGAAGCCCCAGATCTCAGAGGTGATGTTGAGGGGCAGGGAGAGGCCAGGGACAATGAGGCAGAAGCCAGAGAGCTTCCAGAGGAAACACTGGAATCCAGGAATACCGCAAATCAGCTTGAGGCTCATAGTATCCAACTGGAGAACGATGAGATGTGAACCTCGAGGATACAGGCTTGCACCCCTCAAAGTCTCAGTGACAGGATGTAAGCCTGAAGGGTGGGGTGTCTATGCTGGGACGAGGACCACCTCTGTGTCCCCTTTCCGACCCTGGTAGGTGGCAGGTCTGTCTGCAGCTCAGGGAGATGCTAAACTGAAGGGCAGCTTTGGGGCCCAGACAACCAATAAAGGATAAGACAAATTCATCCGCTGGGCACCTGTCTACTGCCTCAACCTGTCCAGGGCCCCTGGGGGTATGGGGGGGCAGGGACTGGACGGGCCACTTGCAAAGACAGAGATTCCTCATCCCCAGGCCCAGGGGTGCAGCAGAGCCGATGGCCCAAGGCACAGCCAGCTACAGCCACCCTATGAGGAAAGTTATTCTGCTGTCCCTGGCACTCAGGCACTGTATGCCCTCCTGCAACTCAGGGCAGATGTTCCCCATCACCTGTGTCTCCCCCCTTGGCTAGGTAATTTTTTGGAGATACTGGGGTTTGAACCTAGGCCCTTCACACTAAGTTACATTTGCAGACACACAACCCTTTATTTATTTATTTTTATTTCAAGACAAGGTCTTACTAAGTTGCTAAAGTTGTCCCAGCTGGGCTTGGACTTGATATCCACCTGCTTCAGCTTCCAGAATGCTGGGATTACAGGGATTACCACCTTGCCCAGCTCCTTTAATATTAATAGAACTTTTTCTTTTTTTTTGAAAGCCTAGAATGCACCAAGTCCTCTTCCTGCCCTGGCTTCCATGTTGGAATCAGCTCCCAATTCCAGCAGTCCATTGGGATATCACCTCCCCAGAGGACAGAGGTGCTGTGTACCTGGGTACCCTTTGTGGCCGAGGCATCGCCTTAATGCATGGGGGGGCTTCTTGGACTGCCCTGTGGAAGCACACAGTAGGCTCCCTGCCCACTGGCCTGTCACTGTCTCAGCTACGTGGACCCCAGCTTCTGGGGTCACTAAGCGTAGCATGCACGGCACAGGAGGTTTTCTCACAGCTTCTGGATATTTGGCTGGCTGGGCTGTGGGGAGCTAAATGTCCTCCTATTGCAGGCGGAGGCCCGGAGTCTGTACCTCTCCCCAGCTCAGCAGCTACTCTGTCCAGGATGGCTGAGCCTCCTGCTCTCGGGACAGCCAGTGGCAAGGCTGCTGTGGCCAGGCCGAGGTGACACCTCTGCTGGGCCTGGCTGGGGAGATTAATTTGGGGAATGGAGAGCAAGACAGGGCTGTAGTGTCAAAGCCTTAGGACTCTCCAACCAGAGCGCTCAGATGTCAAGTGGTCCCAACAGATGGCCAGAGGAAGCTGGTTTGGGGGAAGGAGATTTATTTGGTCTGAGGCTCTGCAGCTGTGTGACAGTGAGGGTACAGATAAAGGACACAGGACATGTACAGTCTTTCCCACAGCCAGCATCTGCCCAGGGAGCAGGGCAGCCTGGATGCCAGCCTCCAGCAGGGGTGGTGAGCATGGCACCTCCTGCCACACGGCTCTTACACAATGCCGTCGAAGCCCTGCAAGCCACACTTCTTGCCAGCCACCTGGCAACCAAACCGCAGTGCTTCCTGCACGCTGTTCCCTAGGGGAGCATCGAGTGGCTGGATCAGCCTGGGGTTCTGGACTGGGGCAGTGCCCAGCCCTGGCCCCTCCCACTGGTACACTCACCCTGGGCGAGGCTGAAGATGACAGAGGCGTTGAAGGTGTCTCCAGCACCCAGAGTGTCCACTACGCGGGGTGGTGAGAAGGCATCCGAGTGGAGCAGCTGCCCACTGGGGCCCAGGGCGTCGGCACCCTCCTCGGCCCAGGCACAGATAAGCGTGGCCCTGCAGGACCTCCGCTCAGCTGGGTGTTCACCCAATTCATCCCCTAGACCCATCGGCAGAACCCTAGCGTCCACCCCGAGCCCCCCAGGGCCCCTTCCTGGCTTCTCCACTCACCCCTTTCTCACACGAGCGTACAAGCCCCTCAGGGCTTCTGCTGCTGACTGGAAGCCCAAGTGCTTGGCCACGTCTTTGCTGACAAACACCTGCGGGCAGTGGGAGAGAGGCTGGCAGCTACCTGTGACTAGTCACTCACCGCCAGCAGCCCAGTGTTGCGCCCATATTATAACCTGACTCACCCAACGCACTTGCATAAATCCCCAACATGGCATCTTGCTGGCCCACAGAAACACATTTTTATGCCCGCTTAAAATGAAGCTAGAACACAGTCTTGTGGATTGTGACACCAAAGCCCTAGACTAGTGGTGGCGAACCTACGGCATCAGCAGACCTCTGTCGGCATTGAGCCAAGTCGCCCCAGCAGCTGAGCACCAGATAACAGTTGTTTTTTCTAATCTAAAACTTCAGTATGCACGTTTAATTGCAATGTTGGCACTTTGCAATAAGTAAGTGGTTTGGGGTTGCAGTTGGGGTACTTGGTCTCTAAAAGGCTCGGCATCCCTGCCCTACATTAGTTGTTTCAGATTAGTGAACTGAAGACCCAGCGAGAGCCTGGAGCGCCATCTTGGGGTGAAATCTACCTTGCCCAGTCAAACTCCAATGGCTCTCAGGAGCAAACTGTTTTGTTTTCCCAGCACAACTATGCCCTCTAGGGCTGGTTTCTTAACCTGGAAAACAAATCAGTAGCGATTCTGGAACTTCCTCAACACTAGTTACACATTAGAATCTTCAGAGATTGTTTTGGTAAAAAATAGAGAAGTCCTGGCTCTACACCTGCCAATTAAATAAAAGGCAAGGGGCTGGGAATGGAGCTAAGCGGTAGAGCACTTGCCTGGCATGTGGCCCTAGGCTCATCCCCACTACCCAGTACAGCAAACAAATTAAGCCAAGAGGGTGGGACTCAGGCCTCCATTAATTTTTTTTTTTTTGGTACCAGGGTTCGAACTCGGGTCCTTGCCCTTGTGCAGCAGGCGGCAAAACCACTGAGCTAAATCCCTGGCCCAATCCATTAATTTTTTAAATTGTTCACCAAGGCCGAGGACCAGCAGCTGCATGGTCTCCAACTAGCTGTGGCTGTGATCCTGGGATTCCCACCTAAACTCCGCTTACACCCAGTCCCACCCACATTTACTCCACGCAAGTCCTTTCACTCCCACTGGATCCTACACTTGCCACACACACCCCCAAGTTGGGAGAGACTTGGAGCCTCAGAGAAGTTTGACACCCTCATTTTGCAGAGGAAGAGAGGGGCCCAAAGAGGCGATGCCTACGGCTGGTCCTTGTCCAGGCCCTCTAGGCATCCTTATTCCGGGAGGGAAAAAACTTCTCCTTTTTGGCGACTGCAAGGCCCAAAGCTGGAGCTCTGCCACTGTACACCCCTGCCACTCAAGAGCTGCTATTTGGAGCCTGGCTTAAGAACTGAGTCCCCTGGATGTGGCGAGCCAAGGCTGCCAGGGCACTCACCACCTCTCCATAGCCAAGCAGCTGGAACAGCTCCTCTCGGGGCTTTTCTATCTCTACAGACACCCGGATCTGCTGCTCCAGAGGCAGCTTGGCATTGTGCTGTTCTATACGCTGCAGCATCTTCACCTGCTCTGATGCATTCCGGCCCTGGGGAAGGACAGGGCAGCTCAGGCAGTGTCCGACAGATCTAGCTCACTCTTGCCTCCCTGCTGGAACTTGGTGAGGAAGGTGAAGAGCTGGGAGCCTGGGCTGGAACCCTATCCTATATTACAAAAGTCTTGGGCTATCATGGACCTCGAAGACCTTATCAACCAGCTCTCCCATTTCATACATGAAGAGACTAAAGTCTCTTCTTTATAAGTCTTTCTGGAGGACCTAGAGGAAGTTAAATGATAGGGCTATGATCAAAACTCAGGACTTCTAAGGGTTCTTCTCACCCAGACCCCAAAACTTGTCCCTTGGAGCAAAAGTTCCCTTTATTTGGATGGTGGGTAAGCCCGCTCATTCTTTCCTCCTCAGAGGTAAAGCAGGTCAAGCCCCAAGGAGCCTGCCTCTGGCAGAAGTGAGTTGGAGGAGGTGAGGCAGCCATAACATCAAAAACAAAAACAAAAACAAAACAAACCACTAGGCTTTGCCTAGCACTAGCTGTGCCTGCATCCTGTGGTGTCAGTCAGCCTTTCTGGGCCTTACTTTCCTCACTTGAAAACATAAAGAAGGCAGGAAACAGGATGGAGAGGGAACGTGTGTGTGTTGAGGGGGGGATTCATTTATCTCTGAGGTACTTCATGGTTTAGAGAAACCAAGAAGGAAGGAGAACGTGTGGAGGGCCTGGCAGGTTGAACCCCTAGAAGTAGATAGGACAGGGCTTACCTCAATGTGGATCCACTTGAACCGGGTCAGATCAACCTTCTCAAAGTCCTTAGCAGACACATCTGGTAGGTTCCTATGTCGTAAGATGGAAAGGATAAAGAAGAAAGAGCATAGGGAGCTCAGCCATAACCAGGATCTCTGACTGTTAGGGATCCTGTACCTCCTAGTGCTGCTGGCAGCATGGCAGGAAGCTGAGAAGCAGAGTTCTCAGGCTTGGCTCTAGGATAATCCTTGCCCCGTTTTGCTGAGGGGCCCCTTTCTGAGTTCCATGCTGGGATACTATCTAAGAAGAAACTCAACTGCTGCACATGTTAAGAGGCCAGCTTCTGGGACTACATGTCCCAGAATCCCTCTTGCTGTAGGCACACAGCTCCCAGCATGCAGTGCCCTGGTGAGCTACAAAGCCCATAAGCCACACTGTAGGCCACGGGCTCTAATGCTGCTAACTTCTGATGTCATAGTATTCAGACTTTGCCCATGGCACCCTGAACACCACAACCTGAATCTGGCAGCTCCCTGTCACAACTCTGAAGTTAAAGTTGGCATTTCAGGAAGTTTGGCCAGCCTAGGATTGAAGACCCAGGAAGGGGTCTGCCTCAATGACCCTCCTTGGCCAGACCCCTACACACAGCTGATGGATCTCTTCCTTCCGAATTCTGTTCCTTCTTCCACTAGCAGTGTGGCTTGGGCCTTTCTGAGGCCGCAACCCCACTGGTACCTGGAGCTGAAGCTCCCCTGCTCCCAGGCCTGCTGCAGTTGAAGGTTATGTATGTGCACATTTGTGGACAGAAGTCAGTGGGCAATAAACATTTCCTCTCAGATCTCCTCCCCTCCCTTCCTGTGAATACCCACATTGTGTCCTTGGTCAGAGTGGCTGCAGATCAGTGCTCAGTGGGCAGATGGCAAGGACTGCTCAATCTCAAGGTCACCTCTAGCACAGATGTGTGCCCGCTCATTTATTGGGACATACAAAGCCCAGGAAACAAAGCTTGCCCTAGGACAGTGATGGCGAACCTTTTAGAGACCAAGTGCCAAACTGCAACCCCAAACCCACTTATTTATCCCAAAGTGCCAACATTGCAGTTAAACCTGAACACTGAGGTTTTAGTTTAGAAAAACAACTCATACATTAATACCTTTTGTCTTAAAAGAAAAACACAACAACACACCCACCGTAGGTTCACTACCACTGCCCCAGGGTGGCTTCCCCTCTCCTCCAGGGCCAGAGGTCATGCTAGGCAGTAAGTGCAGATGGGCAGATGGGCCTGGGGCCTCACACAGTACCTGGCACAATCAAGTTCTCAGGAAACTAAATCTCTGAGAATCCTCTGGAGGGATGAGAAGAGTTGAGGCCCAAGAGTTGAGGGGCTCTCCCAGGGAGCGTGGGACCCTATCTGCTGACCCGACGTTCCCTTTCCCTCTCCTTCCGAAGCGACTGCAGTGGTGCAGGGAGGTGTGTTCAGTGTGTACAGTGTTTGGTTTCATCACATAGAATGACTGGGGGTGGGGGGGCAGTACTGGGATTGTACCCAGGGAATAGAGCTAAATCCCCAGCCTTTTAAAAAAAAATTATTTTGAGACAAAGTCTTGCTAAATTGCCTAAGCTGGCCTCAAACTTGTAATCCTCCTGCCTAAGCTTCCCAAGAAATTGGCATTGCAGATGCGCCACCATGCCCAGCCTCTTTTGAACATCTATCTCTTTTCAGGCCCTTGGTGCCAGGCTGCAGGCTGGGAACTCTAGGGCTGATCCCAGAAGTTCTAATGGGCCCCCAGCCCTTCAGGGCTTACAGGGACTGACCTATATCTCCCACTCCTCCATCCTGGGAGCATCTTCCCCACCCCACGGCTGCTGATGGACTAATTACGGAGGATCACATCATCAGTTACGTTTGGAATAGGTCTGCCTGCCCACAGCTTCCCACCTCATTTCTCCCCTAATTGAAAACAATTCAGAAGTCATTGAACATGGGGCAATTTCTGGCTGGGGGAGGCTGGGGTGACCCCAGTGGTGAGTGAGGGAACTGATTGGTGGGTGGTGGCAGGGCAAGGCCAGGGGCCTTACGTGTCGTAGAGCACAATGGTACGGGAGCCATTGGAGATGTTGACGATGCAGCAGGAGCAAGGGGTGTCCCCCCTGCTCTGCCAGGACACCTGAGACACATCCACGCCCCGCCGCCTGAAGTCGGCCACCAGGAAGCTTTCCCGAGCCAGGGAAAGGAAGAGGAGGAGACACAGATTAGAGCCCACAAGTGGCTTCGATGGCCCATGAGTAGGAAGGGTGTGCTGGAGCACACAGGCCTCTGAGTGAAGGAGGGTCCTGTTCTTGGAGTTTAGTGTCGGTGGCAGCGGCTGGCAAAGCGCAGACAGGTGAAGCGCAGACAGGTGCACAAACCTGTAGGCGTGGATGATGGTGCGGCTACCAGTGGCCTCGCTGATGATGACTGTGGAGACGGGGATGGAGCCTGTGGTCTGAAAGACCAAGTAGCGTAGGTCCACGGAATAGCGGTGGAGGTCATCCAGGACAAAGCTGCCAGGGCGGAGGAACCGGGGAGGCGCAGTTCGGCAGGGCTTGGAGGTACTGCCGGCTAACTGGCGGGGCCTCTGGGGCCCCCGAAAGGCAGGGGTGCAAGCAGAAGGAGCCAGGAGAGAGCTGGGAATCCAGCCGTGTGAGGGGCAGGAGAGGCAGAGGTGCAGAGCCAGGGACCAGGGAGAAGCACCAAGGGGCCACGTTCAGGTCCTGACTGCCACCAGCTCCGACCATGGCCTGTCTCTCAGGCCAACTCAGGCTGGTAAGGATTTGCTGCTGCTGCCCGTAAAGCTAGACGGGGGTAGAGCTGGGCCTAGAACCTGTATCCTGCTGGAACCAAGCAGGTGTGGGCACTGTGACCTGCTTCATGCCAGGCCCAGGCAGAATTAATAATTAATCACCGGGGTGACACTTGGCATGTCCCCACCCCGCCAGCTGCCTTCTGCATGCTCATCCCATGGGGCATTTTTTCCAGTCCACAGCGGTTCCTCTCATTCCACACCTGACTCCAGGGTGGCAGCCAGGAAGCAGTCCCACCTTGCTGGTTCTCCTCACTGCCCTGTCCTCTCGAAGCCAGCCTAACCCCCTCGGCACTACGCTGGCTCCCAGTGCCCCAGGCTCAGAGTTTGGTCTGGGCCTGGTCCAGGACAGTTTCCCAGAGTGCCCTGCAGCAGAGTGAGGCCAGGGACTCCCCTCAGAAAGAGGCAGCAGCAGGAGAATGGGAAGCCAGCCCCATCCTTCCCGACCCTTCCGGGAAAGGCGCTAATCTATGCCTGAGAGATGGCAGCTATGCCCAGCAGTCCAGCCCTCCTCCTGGGTTTTCTGTGACCAGACCCTACCTTCAGCAACACCAAAGCTGGACAGGTCAGTATTGTAGGCACCAAATCAGGACATCATTCCTTGTCTTACAACTCAAAGGTCCTTTAAGTAGTAGTTTTACCAAGGCTTTGGATATGTGGTTTGGTTTGCCAAATAATTTTCTGAGCCTACAGTGCCTGACACATGGCAGGTGCTCATTAAATATGTGTTGAACACACGGGGAAAATTTTGAACAGCCCATGGCCAGCATGACCGCTATGTGGAGTCCACCACCCTAAGAAAGAGCCACAGTCCTGCCTCCCCTCCAGCAGGGGAGGAGCTGCCGAAGAGGGCTGAGTGACAGCCCTTGGCTCCAAGTCCCTCTGTCCCACCCCCAGGGCAGGTTGCCACCCCCTATTTGTTTTGTAGCAGTCCATCGTGCAGGTGGCTGGATTGCTACAGCAGCTCCCTCAAACCAGGGTTCAAAGGGCTGAATGTCACAGACCAGCAACCTGGCAGCCTGCCCTGCTACTCGCACTGGGCAGAGTGTGGGCCTCACTTCCCGCTATGTGCTTGCTGAGTCGGCAGCGCCAGGGACCAAAGGGCTCCTGGGTCCTCGTAGCAGCCGCCATGGAGAAAGTGCGTGGGCTACTTATGGGCTACAACCTATGCATCAAGCTGGGAGGCGTGGGTCTGGGCCCAGCTTTGGCATGCAGCTTTGGGGTGACCCGAGGAGGGCACTCTCACTATTTCAGTGAACAACAAGGACATGAACACTGGGTCCTGCCCCTTAACTGGGAAGTAAACTGTGGGCCTTGACCCTGGGAGCATGGATGCTGGAGGGTGGGACAGCGTGTCCCAAGCACAGCTGGGACAAGGGATTTGGAAAGGCAACAGCAAATCCACCGCAGAGTCTGTAGGAAGCAAGGAAGGAGAAAAGAGGAGCCTAAGCAGGCTTCAGTGCAGGCTGCGGAAAGAAAGCTTCACAGGTACAATGGTAAGTAACACCTGCACAGCAGACAGCTGCCCTGGGTCTGGGAGTCTCGCCCCCCTGACCCCCACTTCTGGAGGCTTCCAACCATTCACTTCTTCTACCTGGCCCACCCGGGGCGTGGCCACGCTTCTCCCCCACACCCCAGCCCTCGCTCCCTCCCGGACTCACTCAGCAACATGGCCAGGGGCCAGGGAGCCCATGAAGGCACACGGGGCTCCGAGCAGGGAGAGGACGGTGCAGGAGTTGGACGCGTTGCCTCCACGCTGCCATCGCTGGGATAGGCATCTGCAAAGCACAAGGTCGGTCCCTGCAGCCCCGCCCGGGTGGCCCCAGAAGATGCGAAGCAACCACAACCCCCGTCTAGGGGTCCACAGAATTTGAGAGCCAAGGACACCCCTCATAAAGCATCCAGGCAGCGGCTCATTCTCTAGACGGGGCAGCTGAGGTTTGGCCTTCATGGGAAGGGGCTGGGCTGCAGGCCAGGTCTGTCCCCAGCCCAGGCTGCATCCAAGTGCATGGCGATCTTTCTCAATGCCTCCCTCTGTTCTTAGGGCATCAGGAAAGCACCCACTGGGGCGGATCACAGTCTGAGGGTCCCACTAACTCTGGGTCATCTCCCCAGTCACAGGGACCCTTTCCTGAATCAGGGCTGCGCCCAGTGCCCTGTAACTCAACGCCCTCCCTGATGGTTGCATCAACTCCAAGGGCTTTGGAGACCCAGGACCTCTTCCCAAGGCCCACATTCACCACTACTCCTGTCTCAGCAGAGCCTACTGCGGAGCTGAAGCAAGATGAGGGGCTGGGACATAGCCCAGTGGGAGAGCACTTGCCTAGCGCGCATGAGGCTCTGGGCTCAGTCCCCAGCACTGTAAAAGAAACCAAAGAAACAACAGTAGCAAAACACCAAAATGAGAAAACAGGAGAACAAACCTGATACTGGGGTCATTTAAAAAGTGTGTGCTGGCCGGAGATTTAGCTCAGTGGTTTCACCGCCTGCTGCACAAGGGCAAGGACCTGAGTTTGATCCCCGGTACCCAAAAAATAAATAAATAAAAAATAAAAAATAAAAAGTGTGTGCTGGGCAGGGGATGTAGCTCAGCAGTGCAGTGCTTGCCCAGCGTGCCCAGGAGCCGGAGTTTCATCTCCAGCACCCCCTCCCCCACCCCAAAAAGCGTGTGGGGTGACATCACAAGATCACAGGTCCAAAAAAACAGTTTTTCTTCCTCTTTCCTGAAAATCTATCAAAAGGAAACTAACACGATGCACCTGAAGGGCTTCACAAGGATCATTAAGAAAAATGACAACTTATACACACAGACTCAAAGAACTTTAATTTCTCACTTGTGCACCAGTAAAACTGCAAGGCAAACAGTGTAGGTTGTTATTTCCATTGTGCTAGCTCCATGTGATAATTGTAATAACAATAATGATTGTGGCATCTTACAGTAAAAGGAACAAACACCAATGAACCATTAAGAGAAACAACTGAGCCAAGCGCAGTGGCACATGCCTGTAATCCTAGCTACTTGGGAGGCTGAGGCAGGAGAATCTCAAGTTTGAGGCTCTCATGGGCAATTCAATGAGACCTTATCTCAAGACAGAATTTTAAAAGGCTGGGGATGTAGTTTAGTTGTAGAGCACTTGCGGACCTGGGTTCAATCCTCAGTACCACAGAAGAAACACACAGAGGGAGAACTGAACCAGAAATTTTTGTGGGACAAGATACTAGGGATTAATTACATTCAGGCCCTTCTCACTGGGCTACATCCCCACCCCAGTTTTCTGGTCTGTTTTTTTTCTTTTTTTCTGATACTGGGGATCAAACTCAGGACCTTGCACTTGCCAGGCAGGCGTGGCACCACTGAGCCACATCCCCAGCCCTGGTTTTTTGTTTTTTGAGACAGGGTCTTACTAAATCACTAAATCACCCAGGCTGGGCTCAAACTTGCAATCCCCCTGCCTCAGCCTCCCAGAGTGCTGGGTTATAGCCATGCGCCACCACTCCAGGCTAACTCAGAATTTTTAGGCTAAGTTATATTTGTACACAAAATTTAACTCTGCCTGGGTGTGGTGCTGCACACCTGTAATCCCAGCACTCAGGAATAAAAATTGCTGTGAGTTTAAGGCCAGCCTGGGCTATGCAGCAAGACCCTGTGTCAAAACACAGACACACACACACACACACACACACACACGCACACGCACACGTGCACACACACACAAAGCAAAAAAATCCCTGAAGTTCTCTCCAGCCGTGGGAAAGGGAAAAGAATGGATTCTGGCTGGGCGTAGTAGTGCACGCCTGCAGACCCAGCACTAGGGAGGCTGAGGCAGGAGGATTGCTACAAGTTGCAGGCCAGCCTGGACTACACACTGAGTTCAAGGCCAGCCCTGAACTACACAGGGAGACCCTCTCTCAAAAAAAAAAAAAAAAAAAAAAGGAAAAAAGATTTTGGGCTGAGGTGTAGCTCGGTGGTGGAGGATTTGCATGCACAAAGCCCTGGGTTTAATCCCTAGTACTGCCTGGGGTTGGGGTGCAATTGCTAAAGGATCAAAGATTTTTCAAGCCTAGTGCTGATTTGGGGAAATATTCATGCAAAGAAAACAGGAGTCCAGAGGTAGTGGACTTGCTCAGGGTTACACCAATAACAATGCTGTGACAAAGTTGACATCAGAACCCAGGTTTCTTGACTCCAAAGCCATTACTATTTACACTCTGAAATTTATTTTTATTTATTCATTTTTTGGTCTTTTGAGACAGGCTGGCCTTGAACTCACTATGTGGTCCAGGCTGGCCTTAACCTTGCTGGACTCCTCCTGCCTCAGCCTCCAGGGTGCTGGGATTACATTACAGCCATGGGGCACCATGCTGGCTCAATCACCCTATATTTTAAAATGAAATGAAAAGCGTTGCTGACATTTCTAAGAAAAGGTACGGAGTTTCATTCTGCGGAGGCCTTCAAAGGCGCCGACCCTTCTGTGCACACTCAGCACTGCACAGGGTGCTCTCAGGAGGGCTCCCCCCACCTGGACTCTGGAAGGCAAGTGCCACTCCTCAGGGCTCTGGCTGAACTCCAAGTCCTGAGTCCCGGGACAGCAAGGCTGCGATGCCAAAGCCAGGGAGGGTCTGGTGCCTCTCTGGTTGGCTCTTCCAGGGAGCCCGGAGGAGTCAGGAGCCTGGCTTAGGTGAGTCGGGTAGGGGGGGGAGGTGCATCAAGGGCAGGGCTCAGAGAGAGGCACCCGAGTGGCAACAGCAGACCCTCCCAGCCTCCCACACAGCCAGGCTGAAGGGAAACAGGACTGGGGCTCTGGCAGAATGGGGTGCCCAGGTCTTCCCCGCCTGGCACGGTGCCCCAGTGTGCACGTTCTCCAGAGCAGAGCGTAGGCCTAACTCCCCGTTAGCACCGACCCCAGGGCCAGCTCCCCCTGCGGAGTGTTAGGTCTATAGCAGCATACCCTGTACCCCTTCTCCACCATCCCTGCATCCCAGGAAAGCGCCACTAATCTCCAGCAAACAAAGCAGCCCAAAGCAAAGGGTCAACTCCAGGAGACGGGCAGCAGCAAAAGGACACAAAGCACAAGGGAAGACAGGGCTGGAGCACTGGACTCTGAGCCAGGGGACATGAGTTGTAACTGCTGCTCTACTACTTATTAAATATGTGGCCTGATCAAAATAATTTCATTTTTCCTAACCTTCAGCGTCCTCATTGGGCAAAGGATTTGACTGATGCCTACAGTTCCCAGGGAAAGCAGGAGGTAGTTCGTGAGACAACGCTTTCCGACCCAGATCCCAAGAGGCCTGGGCTCTCTCCATCAGTCTGGTGGCTATCAGCGCTGCAGCGCCTGCCAGAGCTCAGCCTTGAATGGCCTTCATCCAGCCCTTGGGCTGAGATAAATGACGGCTAAGGAGCAATCCTCAGCGTGCCTGGGCTAGACGGCACCTGAGAAAGCCCCAGACACCTCTACGGCATGACAGCCGAAGGCAGGCAGGGCCCTGCCTAGCGTCAAGATGAGAACTGTCAAAGATGAGAACTGTCCTGCTTCCGCCAGACAACAGGTGCTACTCCATCCCTCGGTAGAAAGGGGCTGCTGGTAAACTCCTTTTGGAACTGAGCCCTGGGTGAAGCTTGCAGGGGCTCATGAGGCAGCTCTACCCCTAAGCCAGGGCAGCTCAGGTTTGCCTAGAGTGCCTGCCAGCCTGAGCTGCGGTCAAAGCTCAAATTCCATGGTCCTAACCGTCCTGACAGTTTCTCTACACACACTTCTCACTGTAAACTAACTCATATCTTTTTGGGAAATGGATGGGATAGGTCCGTGGTAAATAAATTAGAAGTGTGCAGACAGGTGTAGTAGTGCACGCCTATAATCCTAGTACAGTACTCAGGAGGCTGAGGCAGGAGGATCACTACCAGTCTGAAGCCAGCCTGGGCTACACAGTGAGTTTAAGGCCAGCCTGGACTACATAGTGAGACCCTTTCTCAAAATAATAATTAGAAGTGAAAGTTAGTGAAAGAGACAGGCACAGGGCCAGGGATTTAGCTCAGTGGTTTCGTCGCCTGCTGAGCAACCAAAAAAAAAAAAAAGAAAGAAAAGAAAGAGACATGCACAGGGTTGGCGTTTAGAAAGAAAAAAAAAAGGAGGAGGGCTGGCGGTGGGGCACGCCTGTAATCCCAGCACTCAGGAAGGAGGCTGAGGCAGGAGGATCGCAGCGAGTGAGAGGCCAGCCTGGGCTACATAGTGAGTTCAAGGCCGGCCTGGACTACACAGCGAGACTCTGTCTCAAAAAACAAACAAACAAACAAAAAAAGAAAAGGAGACTGGCACCGCCCCGCACCTTACCAGCTGTGCGCGCTGGGACAAGCAATCATTTCAGCCCTCTTCTACAGTACAGTGCGGACCCTGACGGCTGACGCGGTCCGAGGCTGAGGGAAAGGCTACCCGCGCTCTCCAGACCCTGGGTCTTACTTCGTCTTCTCCCGCGCGGACCGGCCCCCGCGTCCCCGGCAGAGAAAGGGCGCCGGCCTGCAGGCTGCACGCTCAGGGCCTCACGCGGGGCCCGGGCGCCCTTACCTGCGGTCCGTGTCCTCCTCCGGGTACTGGTCCACCACGCTGATCACATCCAGCACCACCAGCCCCACGCACAGAATCCGCTTCTCCTCCATGAGGCCGCTGCCCAGCTTCCTGCCAGCCCGGCGGACAGGCTGCAGGCCGGCTCTGCCTCTTATGCGGAGGCCGGCGTCGCGCTCCCGGGCTGCCTGGCTCCTCCTCCGCGCGGAGCTCCTCCTCCTGGAAGCCTGGGCCGCAGCGACGGCGCAGGGGGCGGGACGCCTCCCAGTCCTGGGCCTCAGTTTCCTCACTTGGCGCGGCACGGCGCCACCCGTTCGCCCTCCCCTGCACCTGAGGGATCGGCTGCGAACACCCCAGCGCGGTCTCAGCCAGGCCTCGCAGCTCCGCCCCCGGGGCCCCGCCCACCTGGCCCGGCGGCTTGAAGGACTCGGACACAGCGCCCCCTGGCGGACGCCGGCGCTGGCGCCGGGCGTGAGCCGAGGAGGTGCGGGCGGGGCCCCGGCGGCGGGCGCAAAGACCTGGCGGCCCGCGCCTCCCGCACCCTGCGGGCCGAGCTACCCGGAGCCAGCGGCTCAGTGCGCTGCCCGAGGTCCCCTGCGTGGGCCGGCGCGTCCCGTCCCGTCGCGTCCAGTCCCGTGCGCTCCTGTCTACCCCTGAGCGCGCACTGGACGGCACAGTCATGCTTTTTGTAGAAAAAACCAAGTGTCTTTATTCCTGAATAGCTTAGTATGTTGGTGCGGGCCGGAGCCTGCGGGAGGCCCGGCTGAGGAGCAGAGTGCGAGGAGCGGCTCCTCCAGGTCCGGGTCCCGGGCGGCCGCGGCCTGGCCACAAGTCTGCAGGGGGCGCCGCAGCCCCGAGCCGGTGCGGCCCGCGTGGGGACCGGAGGGCGGGCTCGCGAGGACGACCCGGGCTGGAGCCGCCGCCGCTGGCTCTTTGGCCGCGAGCTCCGCGACGCTTCTACAGCTGCTCGAGCTCCAGGTCCCCGTAGAGCAGGGCTCCGCTGAAGATGGTGAGCGGCTCCTCCGAGTGCGCCAGCTGCCCCATGACCAGGTCGATGCAGACCGTGTCCCCGGCCTGCAGGGGCAGGATGAGGCTGAAGACGCCCAGGGCACCCGGGCTGGGCTGGCTCTCCGCCACCGGTTTATTCTCCAGGCCCTCGGGCTCGTAGCCGCCGGAGTCTATGCGGGCCACGCCCAGGTTGGAGCGGGATAGCACGGCCTCCACCTTTTCGTGCCGGTGCCCGGTCAGCACCGCGCTCAGCAAGTAGCGTCCGGCCAGTGGAGCGGTGAACACCCCTGGGGACAAGGACAGCAGTCGGGAGGGGACAGAGGCGGGCCGGGAAGGCCTCGGGAAGCCCACCTTGGACTGGGAGGCCGCTGGATCCTTTCATCTCTATTCCACTACTGCGTCGCTGGGCGCGCGTACATGCCTGGCAGGAGCAGGCCCCAGGGAGGAGCCCTGGAATGAATGTCTGCTCCCTCCCCACGTGGTGCCCTGCCCAAGCTGGGGTGGGAAAGAATAAATGATGGAAAGAGTCGGGGTCTCTCCAAATCCAAGAACGAAAAGATTCTCCAGCGAGAAGACATCGCGGCCCAGCCTCGCCTGTTTCTCCAAGCTCTCAGCCCGCCCCCTTCTGGCTTACCGCTCTCCGGGTCGTAGAAGCCTCCGTCGTTGAGCAGGACTCTGTCGAAGGGGACAGTGCCTGGTTCCGACCGCGGCAAACTCAGGGCGGCTGAAAATGCCACCCGCGGCACGGAGACTGCTGGCGCGCCCTCCACTCCTGGGCGGGGGTAGGGTGAGGGTCAGGGTGGAGGGCCGGTCAGAGCTGGCCAGCCCCTTTCCCTGGGGATCTCGCTCAGCGCTTCCAGCTTCCGGGCTGGACTTGTGTTCCTCCATCCCGAATCTCACTTACCCTGTTCACCTTGGGGACCTGTGGGAAGAGGAAAAGGGAGCAGTGAGATGGAAGCCACCTCCACTGAGTCACACAGCAGACATCTACTGAGCCTTTCCTGCTGCTCTGAGTACTGTGTGCTATGTAGATTTTCTTTTTCTTTTTATACTAGGAATTGAAGCCAGGGCGTTTGCATTAAGCTACATCTTCAGCCCTTTGTAGTCAGTTATTTAAGACAGAGTCTTGCTAAGTCACTAAATTGCCTGGGCTGAGCTCAAACTTTCAATCCTCCTGCCTCATCCTTCCAGGGTGCTGGGATTACAGGCATACACCATGTGGATTTGAAAGCAGGAGTGGGATATCAGGAAAAGGAGGAATAGACACTCTCTGTTCAACTCTAGGGCTGTGAGCCTTAGCTCCAGACTTTCACACCCCGAGTGGGCCTTGCAGGCTCAGCCCAGGTCTTCAGTACAGCAGCAGGACCAGCATATCCCACAGTCAAACACAGCGCCTATCCCAGCTCCTGCACTTCCCTCTTCACCATCAGCCTCTGGGAGCCCACAGGTCCTCACCACTTCCCCTTCTCTGTCAGGTTCGGTAGAAGGTCAAGCCTAGGGCTGGGAGGGGAGCCGATAACCCTGGCTGCAGCAAGGGTCTCAGCCTACATACCTGGTGGCCCAGTAGAGCCTCTTTGTCCATCCATGCCTGGAGGTCCTGGAGGTCCAGCAGGGCCTGGAGGACCCTGCATCCCAGGAGGTCCTGGGGGCCCAGCCTCACCTGGAGGTCCTGTGGTGACAAAACTAAGTTGAAGAAGAGCCCTGAAGGGAATTCCTGGTGGATAAGGACGTTGGGATGGGTGAAACAGGTGGGGTTTTGCAGGTTGATGGGGAGAAGGGGTCTCTTCCTGCCCATGCTGGATACCTGGCTGGCAGAGCAACATCTGACCTGCACCCACAGGCCTATCTGAGCAGCCAGAGAGAGGCAGTGGCACTCGAACCTTGTGTCATCTCATGGACACACTGCAACCTCTGGCACAGTGGTTGGGGCTGCAATTCATGCTGGGCAGAGCAAGGAGAAGGTAAAGGAGATCAAGCCTGGGCTGCTGTGGGGTGGGGGAGAAGGAAGGTCTTGAGAAGGACCCCCATGCCCGCTCTTGCCCCTCACCGGTGAGGTCTCTGAGGCTGAGCTGTTGCAGACGGTCCTCCAGGAGCAGCAGGGAGCTGTTGAGGGCGCCGAGGCGTCTGCCCAGGCCTGCCTGCCCTCCCAGCAGCTTCTCCAGCAGGGCTGCCTGTGCCTGGCTGCTGCTGTTGGTTTCCCGTAGCCCAGCCCAGAGCCCAGCCACATGTCTGGAAAGGCCCTCACGTAGGCCCTGCAGTCCCCCAGCCACAGTGTCCAGCCGCTCACAGACGCCCTCGAGACGGCCCAGTCGGCCCTCCAGGCTGGGGCACTGGCCGGCCTGCGCCTGTCCGGCCTCCAGGCCTCGGAAGCGCTCCTCACTCTCTGTAACGTGCTCCGTGGCCTCCTGCTGCAGCCTGTTAATCTCGGAGATGATGCTGTCCTTGGTGGCCCCCAGGTCAGCCAGATCAGCACCTTGGCCTTCCACGGTGGTCTGGAGCTCATGCAGGGAGTCATTGAGGGAGCTGAACGTGAGGATGACCTCGGAGAGCTCTCCTTGCAGGGCCTGTAGGGCGGAGCCTGAGCTGCCCCCGAACACACTGAAGCCATCCAGGGGACCACGGCTTGGTCCCCCAACACCTGGACCAGCCCCAGGGCCCTGCGGAGGTAACAGGGGGCAGGAGCAGCGCTCCACCCCATCCCGAAGGCGGCCCAACTCCTCTTGGACACCACCGCAGGCACCACAGCCCTCGTCCCCGCGGGCCTGGAGCAGACCCTCCAGTTGGCCCAGCTGTGCCGCTGTGAGATTCAGTCGCAGCATGAGCTCTGCAGCGGTCTCATCCTGTGCATCCATGTGCTCCTGGAGCTGGCCCACAACCCCTTGCAGTTCCTCCAGCATGGTCTGTTGAGCCTCCCCTGCTGCCTCCAGTTTGTGCAGGCCAGAGCCCACCAGCCGCAGCTGGCCCTCGCTGTCCAGTAGCCTGCGTTCCAAGGCACTGAGGATCTCACCAACCTGAGAGTCCTGGTCCCGGGGGGCCCCAGCGCAGAGCTGCCCACACGCCTGCACAGCTCCTGACACCTGCTCTTCCAGCAGATCCAGGCGCCCACCCAGCCCCCCACTCACATTGGCCAACAGCTCCTCCAGCTTCTCCAGGCGGCCCCGGGCAACAGGCAGCCAATGGCCCAGCCCCCCAGGCCTCTCAGGCCAGCCCTCCTCCTGCTCCTCTGAGGGGCCCAGGGTGGAGTTGAAGCGGTCCTCTAGGATAGAGAGGCGGGAGGCTAAGCTGGTGTAGCCTGGGGGGTGGCCCCCCTGCCCGGAGGCTCCCCCCAGCTCAGTGCCTCGACGCCCACTCAGCACTGTCACTGAGCCGGCCACTACGTCCAGCCTCCGCTCCAGGTCTGCCAGTCGCCGGGCCAGGTCTGGGGGGCAGCATTCCTGAGGCGGCCTGCGGCCCATGGCGGGGCCCATAAGCTGGCGCTGGCGCTCCTCCACGGAGGCCAGTAGCTTCTCCAGCACTCGCAGCCGCTCCCTATCCTCCTGCTGATGCTGGTGGAAGCCATCCAGCCCAGCCAGGCACACAGAGCAGGACTCCTGCAGCCGCCGCTCCAGCTGCCGCAGTAGCTCCTCATTGGAGCCAGGAGGGGCTGGGACTGGGGCTGAGTCTCTGCTGCCTCCACCACCAGCACCACTGTGATGATTGTTGAGGTGGCCCAGCTCTTGGTCATGGGTAGAGACGCGATTGTCCAGGAGCTGCAGCTGGTGCTGGATCTCATTGAGGGTTTCATGCACACCAGGGCGGGCAGCTGCATCTGCTAGCTGCTGCCTCCCATTAAAAGCTGTCTCTACAGCCTTTTGCACATCTTCAGCTAGGCGTCCACTCAGTCCCTGAAGGACACCCCGAAGGCCTTGCAGCTCCTTGTTCAGGCTTTGCACCTGCTCCTCCAGCTGCTGTACCTTCTCTGACTCCCCAGGACCTGGAGAGAGGGAAAGGCAGAGTGCGGAGGGGCTGGATGTCAGAGCTCAGGGTCTACCTGCTAAGCCCTGCCCTCCCAAGCTCCAGCAAGTCAGATGCTCAGACCCAACCGGCTCTGCTTCTTCTTAGGGTGATTTGGGCAAGAAAAGAAAAAAGGGGGCCGGGGATTTAGCTCAGTGGTTCTGCCACCTGCTTTGCAAGTGCAAAGTCCTGAGTTTGATTCCCAGTACCAAAAAAAAAAGAAAGAAAGAAAGAAAGAAAGAAAGAAAGAAAGAAAGAAAGAAAGAAAGAAAGAAAGAAAAGAAAAAAGGAAACTCCATCACTGAATACCTTTAGGCCAAATTTAAACCAAAGCTTTTGAACCTTCTACCCCGGACAGATAC